ACTTAGCAAAACTCCGACATAAAGTATTTGGTAAGTAATTATTATTATATGCTTTAACTTGCTGTAACTCTACTTTATAAATTTTATAAAGTAAAGTTACTTTCCTACTTTATACATCACCATTACTGTGGAACCGGTGGGCGGTTACTACTAACAGAGATACAAAAGTGTGCAGTAGGTATAAAAAGGTTGACTACCCCTGTACTATATCTTAATCCGTTTATATGCAGTTATAATCCCAAATGATCATAAAATAAGAAAGAAAAAAGGAATGGAAAAAAAAGGAAAAGAGGGAGAGAAAAAAACCTTCAGGCTCTTCTGTCCCCTAATCCATTTGGTTCCAGTTGTTTAAGCAGAAAAAAAAGTAAAGGAAAAAAAAAATTAACAGGTCAATCACAACAACAGAAAAATAAATAAATAAAAAGGAATAGAAATAAAAGTCTTCAGGTTCTTCTTTATTCAATGGAGTAAAATGACAAAATCCAGCAGGAAAAAAAGAGGAAATATATGTCTATAAAACAGAAAAGAGGCACACCTTCTTTAAGAAAGGAAATCCAGACTTCTGCAAAAGGCCTCAGATCGGATGGAAATAGCTAAGTGAGAAGGAAAGTATGGGAGTAGAGACAAAATGGAAAAGAAAAACACTGCCATTGTATAAAATCCAAGGCTCTTGTGTTAAGTTCCAAACAAAGTTAGTAATTCTCTTTTTCAAGGTCACTGCAATCTTCTTTCTTTGTACTCCAAGTTTTCTTTCAAGCCCAAACGCCACACACTGATAGTGACCCAGGAGAGCACCTGTATAAACAATCCATGCTCATCCCACTATATTCGACAAAAAGGCTCAGAATCCTTGAAATGTAACACAACTCTTAACTTTTCTCTAAACACTCATACAAAAAAAGAGAGAGAAAACAATAGTTCTAAGCCTCTGGGTGGCAATGTTACTTATTTTCTTCCACTTCCACTTCCCTTCCTTATATTCAAAAAGAAAAAAAGGAAAAAGAAATTCAAAAAAGAAATACAATAAAGCATTGAGAAAAAGAAAAAAAGATGAAGGAAAAAAGCCTTAGACAATAAAAATTATTATGCAAGTGTTTTTTTTTTAAGGAAAAATCCAGTCCAGTTTAAAAAGTAGAAAACGTTTGTAAAAGTCCAGTCAAATTCCAGCAATAAAAAGGAAGAAGGAAAAAAAAACCACGCAGTTTGACTCTGGCTTAATCTCGCTGCTTAATTGTAATTGTAATTTAATAAATTTACATGCTGCCCAATCCCGAAGGACTCCGGGCGACTTACAAAATACAAGAGTAAAAAATAAAAAGTTAAAAAAATAGGGAAAGAGAAAACAGATTTAAAAGCAACACACCATACACTCAATCTAGGTGGGGCTGGACCTCCTTCATGGGGTCAACAGCCCCAGGCCTGCTGGAATAGCCAGGTTTTAGTGGCTTTTCAGAAGGCCGAGAGAGTGGGAAGGGTCCGGATCTCTGCGGGTAGATCGTTCCACAGGGCCGGAGCAGCTACAGAGAAGGCCCTCCCCCAAGGGGTCGTCAGCTGGCATTGTCCGGCCGACGGCACCCGGAGAAGGCCCATCCTGTGAGATCTTATCAGCCGTTGGGAGGTATGTGGCAGAAGGCGGTCTCGCAGGTATCCGGGTCCTAGGCCATGTAGGGCTTTAAAGGTGATAACCAGCACCTTGAAGCGCGTTCGGAGACCAATAGGAAGCCAGTGCAGCTCACAGAGGATAGGTGTGACATGGGTGTATCTAGATACACCC